ATATCTATCAAAAACATTTTGAATTATATTAGTCTCTACTTCTTGCATTTATAGTCGTCCGTGCAACCCTGCAATTTACATCTTTTAAAGATAAAAATATCGAAGAGCATTTATGAAATTCTATTAATAAGAAGTTACCAAACGATTAAAAATAATTCCAAACTCTCAATTAAAAGTAAAAACGAGAACCTCATGCAGGCAGTTAAGCATAAGTACTAAAGCAAGGCATCCGTGACCGGTTAACTGATGCCATTTTGTTGCTCTTACTTGTGTTCATATATGGCAACGTTACTTTTAAAAAGTAGCGAGTAAAAGTACAAGTATTTTTAAAAAAAGTAACGAGTAAAAAGTAAAAAGTTCGTATTTTAAAAAGTAACGAGTAAAAAGTACAAGTAAAAATGCAAGTACTAAACAAAAAAAAGAAACGATTTAAAAGTACATTTCTAGGAAATCGAAAATTCAAAGTAACCTAAAATTTTATTGAATAATATTATGTTCTTTAATGCTTTTGCAAAATTGTTGTTATTTATTTAATTATTTTTAATTTTGAAAGTTATGGACAGTAATTTATTTTTAAATTCGGAAGAATATTATAATGTAATTTTATAATATAATCGTATAATATAATTTTAAAATCTAATATAATTTTAATATCAAACTTTTTATGGATTTGCACGAAAAAGAAATTTTATCTATTGATTTTAATTTTTAGTTTATTATTTTTATTTATTTAAATTTCTATTGATTTAAAATTGTTTAATAGAAAAGCGTTTTAAAAGCACAAACATAAACAAAGCAAACACGGGGTTTCAGATAGCTTTGTGATCTTTGAGCAAGTAAAAAATAATTGAATGTGCAGTATAAGTTGAAACAGAAGTCTAGTTTTATTTGTAACAATGGCTAATGCTGAAGTCATGCGAGAAAATTATTTTCCGAACATTTCTGTCTAACGGAATAATTAAAATTTGTAAACGAATTTTAGTATCAGCGGCTAAATTAATACCTTCGAGTTTTCAAGAGTTAAAATAGCAATTATATTAGTTTTCAATAGCACAAATAGTTCTGAAGTTCTTAGAGATTTGACTGGGCGTTGTTTGACAAGGTCGGGCATAAACATAATTTTAGTAAAAAATGTACTAGGTAAAAATGTATTTAGTAAAAAATGTATTAAGACAAAAATGTGAGTGTGAATTAGTGAGTTCAAAAAGAAAATTGAAAAACGTAATAACAAAATCCAACATTTTTTATTTAGAATGTATTAAATAAATGCATAAAACTCGAAAATGAATGAGAATAACTTGCTAATTATTATTTTTATTCATTTTCCAAAATAAATGCATTTCGAAAGTGGTGTCACTGAGTCAGAAGGTGCTTAGCCACGCTGACTAAGCTCTCCATGGGAGCAATAGAAGGTACTGCAGTATTATTTTTCACATATAATTTTTTTACGATTGGATATCGGTTCAAAATTGATATGCTTTCCGTTTCGACATTTGAGCTCATGTATGTCATAAATTCTTCTGTCTCTGGTGATTGGCATGATGTTTTCAGCTTTAGAAAATTTAAAATCCCTGGGTTTTTTTCTGTTACGTTATAGCAGGGTGTTCAGCTTGTAGCTTCCTCCCTTTCTTTCAACCAATTAAATTTGATGCAAGGTACCATACCTGCAGCAAACAATAAATCGTCCTGCCATTTCACATCGCGAAGCCCTTCGCAGTTCAAAAGAGCCGTCTTTTCCCTTTCTGGAATGACAAATTTAAAAGGTCAAGGTATTTAAACACGAAGTTAGCTGTGAATGTATATATATTGCACATTAATTTTATAAATTAAAAAAACATAAGCATTTTTTCTTTAATTTAATTTTTTTTTTAGAAAGCTATCCGAGTTTTAGAAAAAAATAACGATTTCATTCGACATTTCCATTACAAATACTTGTACTATTTCCCTAAGAAAGTAACGAAAGTACAAGTAAAAGTACTAAATTTAAAAAGTAACGAAGTACAAGTAAAAGTACGTACTTTTTAATTGTACCGGCGGTACAAGTAACAAAAGTAAAAGTACTGCCATATATGCTTGTGTTTTTATGCCTTTCAACACTGGAATGGGAACTCTTTTTCTCATTAGAATAAATAACATCGTTTCTGAAAGTATCGATTAAGGTATTTCAAAATAAAGAATATTTAAACATAAAATTTTTTTGCCAAGAAGTATAGAATTAAAATACTGTTTTAATAAGAATGATACATAATGAACTTTTTTGAATCTCTGCATATAAGGCGAATGATATTATTCTTTTAGAATCATTTTTATTACTTGGAATACTGAGTTCACGAATCCAGTAAAGGATATTTAAAGGTTATTTCAATACTTTTTGTATAAGTTACCAAATTACGTGTATTTCAGATAATCATCACAAAGGCATATGGATAAACATTGGATATAACCAGAAAAAATAATTGATCTAACAGTAATTTATTTAAACAGTTGTTTTTCTCTCATATTTGGATCAATAAATGATAAGGATATGAATTAAGGTTTGTTTTGAAAGCGAACAGAATGGTATAAAATGGGAAGTCGAGAAAGATGTTCTTCACCACTTGATTAGAGTGCCTAAATTATAGAGATCGACTTCTAGAGGTAAGCATTACACGAATTTCATTTTATTTTATAACCTTCGTTGAACAGCTTACGACTACTAATGTTCAACTCTTTGTCATTTTGAACTCAATCAGGAAGAAAAGGCAATTCCTGGGTCAAGCATTAGATGAAATTTTGCCTTCGTGGTGGGCTCTTTGATGAAACTAACCCGCATTTGCTTTACATGGAGAGGAAAACTACGAAAAATTACCATAGTTAGCCCGACGGCAAGGGGACTCTACTCCATCTACTACTGAGGATATTTTTACATCAGCACTGTGGTCGGTGCGAGTCGGGTGGGGGATTCGTATCAACCAGCCATCGCCTGGATTCGAACCCGGTTCACCTCATTGAAAGGCAAACGCTTTGTCCCCAGAGCCACCACGATTCCGTTACAGGAATTAATAATACTTTTTTTGCATGTTTTATTCTTTCAATAATTCTTCGATTATCTGAAAAGTGTAAAAGGCATTACGCAGGGCTCTGCTTAGCATTCATCACTTCGCCAAATCCGATTAAATCGTAAATTTGTCAAATAAAATTGCGTAAGAAAATAGAAAGGACGGAAAAAAATTAAATGAATTTTTCGATTGAATTTTTGATTGCAATAATTTTCAGTAGATGCTCCGAATAACCAATTAGAATTGGGTCCAAATAATATAAGCGTGAAAAAAACACCCCTGAAATAGTTTTTGTATGGGAAAAAATTAATCATAAAAAATAGTTTAACGTTTTCGGGACTGGCGAGTTATAAATATATTCGTATGGAATCAGAAACAGGATGGAAAAAAATAAAAAGCGGTAGCTTAAATTTGGGCATGGCTTATTTGACAACCTTATTTTTGCTTTTGTAGAGGATAGTCTACTTTACTCGTCTGTCAATTAATGCTAATAATATATTGGATTTTTTGTTAGTTAAAAATAGTTAAGTAAAAAATGTTACAATTGACCCCACTCGCCCAATTGTAACAGTTCATAAATTCAACTAAAACATACTTAATTATACATATTATCATAGTTGTGATATATTTTTTTATTGATCAAAATAGTAGTGATATTTTAGGAGTAAAAATAATAATGAGCAGAGACCTAAAGGGTTAAACTTTTAACTTTAAGGGGTTAAAAATTTTAATTTATGCTGTGAAAGGTGACAAATAAAATAATGCACATGCAACATAATATAAATGATATAGGAAACTATTGGTGGTTCTTAAAGAGTTAAGTAATGGTTTGTAAACATAAGATTATTTATTTTCAGCTGTTACAATCGTCCCTTTACTTATTGTTACAATCGTCCCCAAGACGCCATTTCAGCTTCATTTGTTAAAAACAATGCTAGTTAATTAACAAAACTAATTTTTTTTTATTGAAATGTTAATTAAGGTGTCCACTTACATATTCGGTTAATAATTTTTATTTGTTTAAACAAAATTACTTTGTTACAATATAATATTCTAATACCAAAAAAAGTACTTACGTAGCGTGAAAATATCTTTTGTGATGTAACTCTTTCAAAAGTACATAAAAATGGTTGCCAGCAGGGGTGTACATGTAGATTTATTAAATACACCTCAATTAAAGAAAAGGAACCAAATCTATAACCCGACACTCGAAATTTTTGCTCTGTTACAATCGTACCCTGTTACAATTGACCCCACTCTCCCATATCGTTAAGACACGGTTCCCAGTAGAACACCGAAATCAAGCATCACTGTCAGTGCGCGTGTAGGTGACCACTTTGATCAACCTGCAAATGGACCGATGGTGTGCGGTATCGGTTCTCGTTATACTGCTCTACCGTGCTTGAATTGGCACGCTGGTCGTTGGGCTACCGATCTGCAGAGGATCAAAATTGTGAAAGTGCAATATGTTATGAAATTGTAAGAACTTGAATTATTGAAAGCATTCATGGCTTTTATTTTCATTGACCTTGCAAATTTTTCTTCTTCCTTTCCGCTTAAAGTTACGAAACGATATCGATTTCAATGACGAAATTAAAAGTTTTTAAAACGTCAGAACGAAAAACATAAAACATCATACTTTTTATATTACTGCAGGATAAAGTCTTCTTGTACATTTTGTAATTCATTTTATGTCTTATAATAATTCTTGCCGGACGCTATCTCATATTTGACTACTACTGTGAAGTTTTTGATATCAGGTGAGAAGAAAATCACTTCAAAAGAGGAATAAAGATATGGAAAACAGGGAATGTAATGAAATAACTTTTAAAAAAAAAAAGAAGAAGAAAAAAAAGGAATACCTGTTACATGCGAAACAATTTATTAACACGAGTCTCTTCCAGCCGTTCTATTTATTCCTCACACCTGTTAAAACCTTGCAAATGAATTATTGAATTAACTAGACCATTTCGAAACCTTTCCTCGTGATTAACCGTTGCACTAATCTTATTTTTTAACTCTTAGTGAACAAGCAAAAATTTTCGCGCATCTGCTGCGACGCTCAAACATTGTTAGCATGCAACCATAACGATAATTAGAATTTCTTATTTTTCTTAACGCTTAACAGCAGGAAAATAGGCCTATGTTAAATATAAAATAAATAAATAAAGCATTGGGTGACACCGAAGATTTTTTTAGATTAACTGTTTTTAAAAAGAAACTTTTAGAACAATCACTGTCGCTACTATTTTCGAACGAATGATTAACTGATATTTTTTCTTAACAGATAGAAGAGAAAATGAAGGTTTACATTGTTCTACTTGTTCTCAGCTTCGTTGCTGTTGCTTTAGCTGATCGTCCAGAATGCTATAAAGAGCAACAAAAGGCAATAAAATCAAGTAAGTGTTTCTAATTTCTTTTTTGAGATAAATAACATTTTTTTTTCTTCTGCTGCAGATATTTTCGTGTCATTGATTTCATATCTACTATCGATTTCTCTCCTTCAGACTTAATGCTATTCAATGATATATTCTCAAACAGGATGGGATTGACTAGAGCGACAACTAAATGTCTCTCCTTCTCTGCTACGTAGGGAGAGATAAGTGGGAAGGCGAATACATTTAATTTATGATGCGATACGTTAAGATCGTATGTTTTTTAAGTGTTTTTTTTCAAAGGGAGAAACAAGTGTTTAAATATGAATATAATCTTATATGCTCTTTATGAACTTGTCCATTCAGACAAAGATAAACTAATCTAAAAATAATTTTTTATTAAAAAAATATAATTTTTGAAACAAAACTTATTCCAGATTTTAAATTTTCGCACATGAATTAGGCAAGATCAAGTGCTTGTAAAACGCAACATTTTTTTTCACTGGTAATTATTGAAATTAACACGTGGGAATTTACGCATATTTCATTATATTAATCTCCTTATGATCTTATAACGAATTATTCGAATGTGCAACTTTTTTTTTCAAAAGACAAATAGAACGTAATACGCGCCTGATTAACTATCGAAAAACCCATTCCAAAAGACTTGCATCTGATGGAGTTAACTTTCAGTTTTCGAGATCTATCAGTTTTACTTTTTTTGATCTGGCATAAATGGAGAAACAGCTGATGTTCTGTCATTTCTTAAAATATGGACACTGCGCTTGACATTAAATATTTTTTCCTTAATGTTTTAGATCATTCAAAAGATGTGGTCTTATTCTAACGGTATTTTTTTGGAGCTAATTTTCTTAATTCTCAGATCATCCGAAAGGAATGTCAAGTAGAGATAAATTAGCATTTATGACGCCTCAACTTTAACTTTTAACCGAGGTTCCAGGCTGCAAAAGCTGCTCGTAACATGTGTACTGTGATTGAAAGGGATACCGTGGCTGAAATGCTCTTCAAGAGAGTTACTATAAATTATAATATCATCAAAGAAATTTTTAGCAAATTTAATATTATGTTTTTGTAGTATTTGGCGGATAGCTCGCTGAAATATACTTGGGCTGTTCTTCCAGCCAAAAGGGAGTCTTACCCACTCATATAAGCCAAAATTAGTGGTCATCGCAAATTTTTCAGTGTCACAATCTCTAATTTTTAAATGCCAAAAACCTGAACATAAATCTACTTTAGAATAATATTTTGCATTCATTAAGTCATCAAGAACATCATCAATTCGAGGGATTGGTTCAGCATCTGATTTTGTTACTAAATTTAATCGTCTAAAATCTATACAAAATCTATTTCTTTTTCACTCATCTTTTCTAGTAACCATCGTTACAGGGGCTGAATAGGGGCTATGTGAAGGCTTAATAATATCATTTTCTAACAACTTTTTAATTTGTGTCTCAATCTCTATATTATCTTGAGGAGAGCAACGATATGGATGTAAAGATATTGGCAATTCAGAAGTAAGAATAACCTTCTGAGGCTCTAATCTTATGAGTCCAGCATCATATCTATCCTCACTAAAAATATCATTATACTTTTCTCTTAATATAAGGACAGTCTCTTATCTACTATTTCCTGTGGTGAATAACGATCCGCAGATTCAAGTGATTTAGAATATTTGCTCGTTGGTGATGCGCAAAGACTATCCTTAACTACACTGAGACACAAACATTTTGACTGAGTTATAATATTTTTAGAGCATTTGAGTTCATTTTCACCTTGAATAACAATTCTTTTATCAAAATCTATTTTAGTAATAAATATGTACATGTCAGGCAGTGATAGCAAACAATAATTCAAATCCGTATTAATACTATACATTTTAATTTTATTTGTCAATTTACCGATACAAACATCTATTTCAATTAAATAAAATTGTGCCTTGTGTTTGTTGCAATGGCACTTTATATTTTTCTTCAATTTTTCTATATTTGATATTTTTTAATAATTTTGATGTAATGTCTTTCTCGTAAACTCTTGAGCCGTGGCGGTTAATTTATCATTATATTGCATTTCGTAGAATTTGCAGTCATATTTTAATTTTTTTTTAAATATCCTTTTCTATAAGGATGACAACATGATGAATTTTCTATGCTTTTATTGAGTAAAGAATAAGGAATCTACTTACAATTTATATACAAACGGAGCAAAAGCTCCGGGACGTATCTTTACTGTTTCATTTCCAAAATATAAGTGTACACTTTTTTAACGTAACATATGTTCACGTCATGTGTTCCATAGAATCCATCCAGACCTTTTTGTTTATATCTTCTTTGTTAGAAGAGACACGCCGTGAGATCTGAAGACCAGATGGAAATGAACTAATATCTCAACATGGTCTTGATTTTAATGGGAATTCGGCTTCGTTACGATATTTTACTGCGAGGTGTGGATTCATTTTACAAATAAAGATTTCATCGCTATTCAACGGAACTTACTATATACGCGAAGGGCTAAGTTAAGTACGTGAAAGAGAAACTTAATATTCTCAGAAACCAGATAAGCTTATATGCAGATAGATATAATTCTTTTTGAGTTTAGTCTCAAAAGATCCTTTTAATTTTATTAAGGTTGCATTTTAGATATTACACACACACACGCATATATATATATGTGTGTGTGTGTGTGCGTGTGTGTGTGTGTGTGTGTGCGTGTGTGTATACACATATATATACACACATATATACACACATATATATGTATATGTGTGTGTGACATCAAGTCACAAGTTTAATTTCATTTTGGTATAATTTCGTTAATTCATGATACAAATCCTTATTTGCTGATCTAATTCTTCTCGCCCCTTAATCTGTAGTGCAATGGGGACTTTCTCCCCCTGACTTTACGTTCACATTCCTTTAGCCCTACCTCTTTTTTTTCCTTAGAAAGACACATGTTTGCCGGTATCTTTGATGTCAGCGTGTCTTACAAAATCTGAGATGTGTTCCTTAACCGTAACGCTGGTACAATAATAGTGATAACATTTCAACTTTTTGAAAATAAGTAATTTAACTTTAACTTTAAGCAAGAGGATAAAAGGGAGAGCGCGAAAGGTGATCGCGGATTCGATTTTTTTGATCGTCAAACAATTTGCAGACCTCCGCTTAACGGAGTTTTATATTTTTGCACCCTCCTCCCTGAGGTGGAGAACTTTTTAGGAAGAATGACTTCCTTGCGCCATCTTTATTTTTTTGCAAAATGGATTTTGGAATTCTCTATGTTAGTCATTTTAACAACCAGTTTGTGAGCTACCATGCTATGACTTGGTCTACAAAATGTTTTTTTTATGCTTAATCATGCATCTATTTTAATGTGGAAAATTTGAACTTAATTGTAAATAGAATTATTTTGGACTGACCATGGATTTGCGACGACCATATGCAAGGATTAACTTAATTGTAAATAGAATTATTTTGAACTGACCATGGATTTGCGACGACCATATGCAAGTATTAAAATGAGGCCACGCCGGCTAACTTTTCTTGAGCTGATCTGATATCCATCCACTCTTGTGTTTTGCTTGGGGCTTGCTCAGTCTGAATGGAAACCACGAAACTCCCAATCACTCCTGACCACTTCACTATCCATCCGCTGTACCGCCTGTTATTTTGTTTTTTGATGCCGCCACTAAGCTAAATATTCAATAAAACGAACTTTATTCATCAACACATGACTCTTTTTTTAGTGAACTCTTAGTTTCTTTAGATAAATGGGCCTACTCTCTCGATCAACATCTTAATAGGAATGTGTCTTCTTTTTTGTTTTTATTCAGTGTTGTTTGGTTAAACACCTCCTCTTAATATGTACTTCCACTGTCAGATCATGTGCCATATTTACAGTTTACTTTTGTCAAGTATTTTTTTAAGTCAACCCTTTTTTTTTTTGGTTTTCTTGTCAAATAAAAATTCCTTAGTACTTTTTCAATACCCAACCTTCAACAGTGCAATATATATATCAGGCAGNTCCCACCCGCACACTGACCGCAGCCAGTGATGCTTGACTCGGTGATCTTCTGGGAACCGTGACTTAACGATCAGTGAACTGCGGGACTCATCCATGTTGGAAAATCAATTTATTTTAAATCAGAAAAAATCTTTCTTTTAAATCAGTCGATAGAATTTTTAGATGACAATAACAAGTAAAGCGGTATTATTTACTTCACATTTTTGGAGCCAATGAAACTGTTTAAAGCTTTTGTTGTTAATATATTTCTGACATAACTCAATAAAGGTAATGAAACCAAATATCGTCGCTTTCGCATCAACAAGAGTTCCATTTGTTCCTTGAAGTCGCTTATTTAATTGTATTTAGTTTTTCAAAGATATCGGCTAAATAACTTACAAATGCTTTACCATCGACAGTTCACAGATACTTCATCTCAGGTTTGTCGCTTAAAAAATCACTAAGAGTATCAAACAGTTCCATAAATCTTTTGAAGCAGTTCCCTTTTGAGAGCCATCTTACTTCAGTGCGAAGTAAAAGTCTCACATAGTCTGCCTTTTGTTCTTCACAAGATAGCTTGAAGAGACGCTCACATTTGACATTAGCTTTAATTGCATTGATACCCTTTATTACTGATATGTAGTACTTCATTTAGAACAGGCGAGATGTTTTTAGCTACCAAGGTTTCCCTGTGAATAACACAATGCACAAGAATCATTTCTGGATTCTCATCTTTCATCAATTTTAAGCAACCATTTTTCTTGCCCATCATATTAGGAGCACCATCTGCAGCACAAGATGTTATATTTTTCATTGGTATATTATTGACATCTAAGTAGTGTTTTGGCTCATTATATATATATATATATATATATATATATGTATTGTAATAATCACGTTACTATGAAAAAGCATTTCAAGGACTTAATAATTATGATCCATAAAACTGGTAACCGTGAGTTCGATCCTGGCTGCAGACAACACAACTGGCGTGTGCATACTCACCAGAGTGTACTACGTTAAATCTGTCGTGGTTGAAAGTGCCTCTCGTTGGTCGTAGAGTGGTTGGAGAGAGGGATATCAGTTCAGCCACTGTCCAAACTGTCTGACCAGTGTTAATATGATTCGGCATTCCTACCATCCCTTAAGAGATAGAGCTCTAAAAATGGAGCTAGATTATGATTGGATGAGGTTGTGTGATAGATCGAATATATGGGAGCATTTTTCAATTTAGAAAGCATTAGCGATAACAACAGCCAATTCTGAATTCGATTGATGTAATATCCACTAAATACTCACTACATATGCCAAACATTTTTCTTTTTAAATAAAATTAACTATACAATCACTCCCTACATAGAACATTAGATTATTTTAAATAAATTAATGGGAAAAAATATGGGCGTGGCGTAAATAATATTTTTTAAACAATCCTCGTTTCACGAGTTAAAAACTGGCCTTATGTCGCAAAAGTATTTCTTACAATATTAATTAAGAAAATGTTAAAAATATTGGAAAATTTATTTTAAGGATGCATAAAAAAATAAGTTTAAAGAACTTGCTTCAGTTTAATATCTGTTAAAACAATAACGTAATCCCTTACTTTAAAATTTTGGACATGCATCTAAACTCTTAATTGATTTTTCTGTATGGAAAGTAACTTATTTCCGTCGTTAAAGAAATTACTATGTAAAAATTCTACTTATTTATGCTTTTGATTTGATTAGTAAACTTTCGCTCAGATTGGCTCTTTTAATAGGAAAAAAAATATTTTAAAGGTATTTAATAGAAAGTTTTTGCAATAATTTGTGTCAACTTTTGTCACTAGACAGAATTATAGATTTCATCTTAATTAGGGATTTGGGTACTTGCACTTCAAGAAGAAGATCATAATACCCACCTATGACGTCAGCTCCAGCTGATCGCCTATAAGCAAAATAGCAAGTTAGTTATGAGCTAAGTTTCTCCACGTGAGTCAGAATTGTAATTAATGTAAAGTTTATTAAGTACGAAAATAATAATATCCTTGACTTAAGTAAAATTCATTTTACTTGATTTAGATTCATTATTTGTTTATGTGTTTTATTGTATCCGTGATATATTTTTGTTTCACGTACCCGCAACTTTGACGCATAATTAGTTTATGTTCTACATGGTTTCATGCCTGCCTTTGTGTTAATTGAAAAAAATTGAAATCATTATGAAGGAATCTTTGTGTAAGAATATAGAATGTGTCACTTATGAGAAATTATACTTGACGGGCTTACTCGAAATAGAATGGAAAGAACATCTGCAAACCTAAGCAAATGCCACATTTCAATAACCCACCATGATAGATATACACACACTACGTCACTTGCAGGTATCCCATTATCGTCAGAACATTCAATTGCAGCTTTGTTTAATGTTCTTACATTTTCAGTGTTGCCAATAGCTGAAACAGCTTAGTATTGTAATTGCAGATTCTATTCCAAAAATATTCTAATGAGACATTTATATATTTTCAGATCATCCCAATGCCTATATCCCTAATTGCTATCCCAATGGTGAATATAAACCGCAGCAGTGCGAGAAAAAGGACGGAACATTGTTCTGTTTCTGTGTGAACAAAGCAGGAGAACGTCAAACTCCATCCAAACAGGGACACCGACGTGACTGCCATTAGATGTCTTGCTTAAGAAGAAAGAAATCATCCAAATAAACATTGATTTTCTAAAACAAATCGTTGTCTCGGATTATTTTAGGGGGAAAATTTATTTATTTTTTACATATTTTAGATACTATCGCATCGCTGATTTCAAATCTGCAATCGGTTTCTCTCCACAAGCTACTGTTTTTATACAATTCGATAATATATTCATAACCAGGATTTTTCAAAATTCTCTCGAGTGTCATTCTGTCATTACTTCTCTAACACGTAGGAAGAAGTAAGATTCAGTTTATGATGCAATACATTAAGCTCATATGTTTTTAATGTTGTCTTAAATGTTTTCAAAGGCGCAGGCAAGTATATATCTATGTATACAACTCATACGTTCTTTATATACTTGAAAAGTGCGTATAAAATCACCCTGAATAACCATCGTTCTAATGATCAGATTTTCACGTACTATGTAATCTTAATGGCTCCTAAGCTGACTTTAAGTATGTTTATTAACAAATGCTAACTATTAATTAAATTACGAAATCAAGCACAAAAATGCATATTCTCTAAATAAAAATATATATTTTTTACACATTGGGAGTCCTGACTCTCAAGGTACGTTGGCAAAATCTTTGAAAAACTGGAGAGAAAATTTGGGTGCCAAGAAGATAAATATATATGGCGTTGAGACCATGAACTATCGCCATAGAAGGAGGAGAATTTTAATATAACCCTAGTCTAACCAAAGAATATATAATGTGAATGAACACTTATATATTCTTTGGTCTAACTGCGCAATCTATAAAAGAGAGAAATACTCCATTGCTAGTAACCAATCTGTAAGAATAAAAAAAGAAACAAATAAAAAACTGATTCCATTCATAGTTTTGTGTTATCTCGGGTCGGAAACGTGTGTTGCAGAATGATTCAGTGGTGAATGGTTGTATTAAATAACCCATTGGAGGTTCAGCAAATGGACAAAATTGGATGAAGGTTTCTTTCTTACGCACTATTTCCCAATGTAACTACATCGCAAAACCGGTTTTGCTATGCAGAGAAAACTGCATGTCAAAATACGACTTCTTACTTGCAGAACCGTCAGTCGGTTAAAGAAGCCATATTTAATAACAAACAAATTTAATAAACGAATAAAACAATATGATACGAAAAGGGGCTCGCCAATGACTCATCCAGTTCAATCCATTGCCTGCCACATAAGTAATTAGAGAATTATTGTGAGTGATTACAACGCCCTCTTCTGATCAGGCAGAAATTCGTAACACACTCCCCACCTGAACTCTTTTTGAGTTCATTCACCATAAATTTGTATAACAAAATGTTTTCAAGAACAAAATTAGTTGAAATATGAAATCAAAAATTTATCCTTAGCAGTAATTTACAATCATAATAAATAAATGATTGTACAATAATTAAGATAACAATCTAAAACAATCAATTATAACTTGTGCATATTATCAAAATATTTTTCTTACACTTTACAGACTACAATGAACATTTTTGTTTAAGGGTTAATTTCTAAATTACTTACAAATTGAACTGAGCGTCTTATATCTCTTTTAGGGGTTTCTATCAAAAGAGAACGAATGTTCCCATCTCGTCCCTGATACACTTCCAAAAATCTTCCCAGCATCCACATACTATTTCTGGGATAAAGTTCATCATTGATTAAAACAATATTATTTACCTTAAATGATGCTATCTTACCTGGTGGAGAGGTATGCAGATCTTAGAAGCAGTAAAAATTCCTTCCTCCACCGATTCCAGAAATGATGCAAAAGTGTTTGTTAATATTTTTACCTTTTAGTTAATGAATCTCTATTTACAATGAAATCATTAGGTTTATACTTAACAACAATTAAAGACATCAATCTTTTACCATTTAAAAAATGAGTAGGTGTAAGTGGAGAAGATTCCGAGGGTTCGTAATATAGATGCGTAATAGGTCAAGAAGTTATCATGGCTTCGATTTCCAAAAAGACAGTTTCTGATTCTTTAAGATTTGGAAAAGATTTATCAATAATTTTCTTTAAATAAATTTTTCTGTACGTATCTGTCGCTCCCAGAAACCTCCCAAACATGGACTTTTTTGTGGAGTAAATTCCAAACGATATTTTTAGATGCAAACATATTTTTTACCTGAAGATCATTAATTTGTTTCCACTATTTTTTTAGTTCGCTATCTGCCTTTTTAAAGGCTCTTGCATTATCTGAATACAAAATTGAACACAGTCCTCTACGATAACAAATCTTCTAAAGCCCTATAAAAAAGAATCAGTATTCATATTAATAGCCAGTTCAGAATGCACAGCTCTAGTGACTACACAGGTAAAGATTGACAAATAACACTTATTACTAGAGTCAGTAAAAAAAAAAGGTCCAGCAAAATCTACACCAGAAACATCAAAAGGAGGTTGTTCTCTAATTCGGTCAGGCGGTAACGAAGCTACCACTTGAGCACCTGGTTTTACCTTATAACGTCTGCATCTTAAAAAGTTTTTCAAAACGTTTTTGACAAATTGTTTACCTTTGATTATCCAATACTGTTCCCTTAAGTGAGTTAAAGTAGAATCTACACCTAAATGACCCATTTTAACAGGAGCCTCTAATATAAGTAATTCAACAAATTTATCATTAGAAGAAAGCAGTTCAACACCTCCTAGCAAGCAGTCCAGGCCTCAGCACGGGTTACCATAAATATCCTTTAGTAGTCCAAACGTAATGAGATATTTCGTATTTTCAACCACTGCGCAGCTTAGTACCCCGAACGTAATGACATCTTTCTTATTTTTCATCTACTGCGCAGTTAACTTCGTCACATCGGACTACTAAATTGATCCGTGCTGAGGACTTCCTTTTTCTAGGAGATGTTGAGCAGTTTCGGATGTTTTGTTTTAACATCATCACTTGAGAACTGCATTTGTGAGAGAAATGGCAGAAGTCTTGTTTTGAGTCCCAGTGCTCACCGCAACAGCTCGTTGTTCGTTCTTCCCCAGTTCACTATAATTGTCATCAGGATGGTTGCTAAAATTTACTACAGACCACAATTCGACCGGATGGGTCAGCCAAACTGGTCCAGACCACCACAGGGACACGATTTTAACTGCAGATTCTCTCTTCTAGTGATAAAATCAGCAGGATTTTCCGCACCACTGCAATGGTTCCAGCACTCTGGGAGGAGCGTAAGTGTCTGCACTTCAGCCACTCGATTAGACACAAATGTTTTACTTCCAAAGTTTTGGAGATCCTTTCACTCAATGAAGAACAATTTTAGAGTAACTCCAACAGTATATTTGTTGAATGAAATTAGAAAAAACACGCTGTAAATATTTCCCTAATCTAGCATCGACGAGAGCTGCCATTAGTACCAATCTGGCCAAAGTTTTTAATAGAGCAACCTTGCGTTTAGAAATTATGAATTTAACTTCGATATGTCCTTCCATTGTGGTAGAATGAAGGTATGCCGCAGCTCCATAAGCCTTCGGACTTGCGTGTACAAATATGTGAAGAAAAACATCAATAATATCCGTCGTTGAACATAGTTTTCGTTCTATTATAACATAATTGTCCAAATCATTAATTTCAGAACACCAATTTTCCATTTTTTTACTAAATCACTAGGAAGTTTTCGTCCCACTTTAGACCTCGTTCCCAAATTTCCTGCATAATTATTTTAGCTCTAACTACAAATGGACTAATGAATCCGCATGGATCAAAAATTTTAGAAATTATTCTCAACACCTGTCTTTTGGTGTTTCCTGATTCCAAGAATATCTTAAATAATTTAAATCTAATTTAATTTTATCCTCAATAGGATCTCACTTTACTGCTAAAAAACCAGTTCTTTTCCTAAAATCAGTGTTTTTCTCATATCCGATTTTACGCCAATGCTCATTAAGTTATACAAAATTAGTTTTTAATTTACTTAAATTAAATCCAGCGACGCGTAATATTTCAATTGCCGATTAAGATAACTGAAAGGTATCCTGAACAGTTTTAGCACCGTAATACAAATCATCTACATATAGAGAATTCAATATTTCATAACAATTCGGTTAATCTTCTTTTATTTTCCTAAAATGAAATTTTAATACACAAGCAAGAACAAATGATGACGTAATAAATCCGAAAGGAAGGCAATTAAATTGAAGTATTATTTTTAAATTATCTGTTACATCAGAAAACCATAAACATTTTAGATAATTTCTATCCCGTTCCGAAATTTCTATCACGAGATAGGCTTTTTCCAAATCTCCGCAAAATGCGACTTGATTTTCTCGAAATTTAAGAATTATATCCAATAAATTTGGACAACGATTAATTCCCGATTCAAGCGAATCATTCAAAGATTTTTTTATTTTCATTTGCTTTACTACTACAATTGTCAACATTGCGAATGCGACTTGTTTCTTTATCATTCCTAATTACTGCACGATGAGGCATAAACTATCCTGAATTTAAATTTTCATTTACACTATTCCCAACAATGTTACATTTTATTTGTTCCGATACAATTTGCTTATACTGGTCTAAAATCTCTGGATTTTTATTTAATTTATTCTCTAACGAATCAAAACGCTTTTTCACAACTTCATAATTAGAGTCCATTTCCAAATGGGGTCCCAAATTTTCCTTCCACATTAATTTGCATACGTAACGCTCGCCATTAAATCGCAAGGAATCCTCGAAATTTTTTATTAATTGATTATCTTTTTCAGAAAGACATATTTTCTCATTCGGAAACTCTTCTATTTCCGAAAAATAAAGATCAATAAAATAGAAGATGAGTTAGTTAAGCATACATTCTCACAACTTTCGGCTAAGTCATGACCCAATTTATTATACCCAGATAGTAACCATCCAAAATGGGTATTAAGTAAGCATACATCTTCGTTTAATTTCATCCTTTCATTGTAAACAATTTTTCAAAAAATGTCACTCCCTATCAATAAATCGCAAACCGTGGTTTCAAATGAGTCAAGCCAGTTCATATCCTTTAGTTTTTAACTCATTCATTATGAGCGCATCTGGCTCATATCCTTTAGTTTTTAACTCA